CAATTCTTAAACCAAGAATTTACACCATATACTAAATAAACTCTCAAAATCATATTGCAAGCATAACTTCTAAATTCATGCTGTTTCCATTCACCACCCTGAAACACGAAGTCTGTTTACAACATTTGATGTTAAGAACATACAGAAAATAAAACAAGCTTACCACTTCCAAGGACATATTTGTTCGAACACGCTCAGTGTTGCAGGTTTTTTTATTTAGGGGAAGGAAGAAAAATGTCACAGTGAGCAAAGTTCACGTGTTAACCTGGAGAGGATCCAGGCTGGGCGCTAGAGCTGCAGCAGCTGCTCACACCTGTGCAGGCAGGAAGCTGTCCCTGCACCAGCTCCAAGGCTGAGGGGCTGCATGTCCCAAACTTGCTCAGAGAAGTGTCCAGCTCGCTCACCAGAATGTCCCCAGAGCCCGCTGGCAAACTTCTCTGCCTTGACAGAAGAAAGCTACTAATTAATCTATCCACTGCTCCTCCCTCATCCGAGTTACTGCCTTGAGCTTATGATCAAACTGGTTTTACTACCATGTAAAGCCTATTACTCACAATACAGCTATTTACAAAACTGATAGCAATAAATGAAATAAAACCAGGAACTTCAGTTCTTAAAAAAACTCAGCTATGTAGGGACAAAAACCTTAAGAAAATAAGCAGAAGGATGAATACCAAATCATCACTTTCAGTTATCAACAGGTGTCTGGAGAGTGAATAGAACTACTCAAAATGAATAAATCAACAAAAATGAATCTTAGTCCATATCTTGTCAAAGTAAATGCAAAAAAAAGGAGTTAAGATTCATTGGGTCAGAGAAAGAGGGAGGTTGGGATGATTTCCTGAAGGAGGGAAGGCCTGGACTCTTAATCTTTACTTTCAGAGAACTGTTCCTGTATATTATATAAAGTCTAGAAGCAAACAGAAATAAACCCCAGCCCAAAACCAAAAACTCTTCCACATTTCACACACCTTAAGATCTCCAAAAATCTCACACATTACATCAAACAGCATTACTGCACTTCTCTAAATCACACTGGAAACAAACAAATACGTGCACGTTTTTCACTGTGATGGATTTTAGAAAGGAAAAGCTGCTCTCAAAGAAAACAATAAAAGTCTGCTAGGTTCCATTGCTAATTCATTTCAGAAATTCATGAAGTTGTTTATTTTAAATTGCCCATACAAGAAGAAGCACATAAATGGCAATAACAATGTCAGAAACAAGAACTCTAATTCAACTCCTTTCAAAGAGGATATGCACACAGTTCAAACAGGAACTTCACACCAGGTTTTGCTAGTAACACTGGAAACCTGTGCACTCCAAAATCCAGCTCTGCAATAGAGGCAGAACATCCTTAAGAAGCTACAGCACTGAAAAGTGAATTCAAGGAAATGAGCTTCACAAGTAGGCAGTGTAATTGCTTGCACTTTTTTTTTTTAACCTACTTGTCTTCAACTGTACATTTACCACCATCTTCTGGTTTTAGGATTGCTTTGGACAACCCACACATCGAGTTCCCACCCAATCTTTACAACACCTCCCACTCCCCACCCCATGCAGTGGCACTGCACTGTAGTATCTGAGGATGTTTCAGAGCCTTTATGGGGTTGCCCTCAGCTGAGACTACCAGCTCTCTTTCTTTTAAAGCAAAATGATGCAAGTCAGCACCAAGAACTTCACCTTTTGGGACAGACAATCTCAGACTGCTCATTAACCCATCAAGTGGTGGGCTCACAGAAAACATCCTGTCCCCAGCTGGCACGAGGAACCAGACATCACCAAGCCCTGATTATGCTCCCAGATCTCCCCATCAATATGCAAAAGCCTTGGGTAGAAGCCAGTAAAACCCAACCAAAAAGTTACTAGATGATGTTATAAGGTACCAAGCATCAGCATTCTATCAGTATCCACAGGAAGCTTCCATAAATTCCCTTCTTTGTAGGAGTGTTTCAAAGTCACATAGTGCTTAGCTCACCCACACCAAAAAACAAATTAACCAAATTAAAAACACAGTATCAGCTTCCTCTGCTGCACTTCTGACAGCAAAGACCCAACTGCTACCACTACATGAAACAGACCTACTATCGCAATTTAAAATTATTTTACAGTGTTCAGAAGACTTGAGAAATAAAAGGAAGACGATCAAAAAGCTATTTCCTGTTTTAACAGCCCAAAATTAAGTTGACAGCACTTAGTCATACTTCAAACAGAAAGATGCATTTGTCAAAGCATGAGAAGTGGCATAAAATGTCAGTAAATCCAACGTATGGGCAGAGCCCAGAAGGGGGGAACAGAAGGGGACTGATCTGCTTTAGCAGTGAGGATAGAGTCTGAATCTGGGGCATACAACATATTCAGGCAGCACGCAGAAATAATCCTTCCGTCCAAATTTTTCTTGTCCTTCAAACAGGCAAGAAGCAGCCTTGTGCAGCTGGCACCAAGGCAACAAGCTCTTTTCCTGCCCTCACACAGGATGAAGAAGAGACAAACTAACAAAATTAGCAAAAACAAACTAGAATTAGAACCTTCCTCCCAATTATCTTACAGTTGATGAAAATCAAATGCTTTCATTTATTTTTAAAAAAATAATTTATCTTCTCTAATAACATATAACATTTGAACAAGAAAACATGTTTATCGTCACCAAGTTTCATCTGTCATATTTACTGTTTTTAAATTTTACACATGAAGGCAAATCTAGTGGATAACATATGCACTTTCAGTTTCAAATTTTAATCTTTTCCAGATCAGCACAGATTATAATTTACCATCCATAGTCTGCATGGAGAGGCTATATCCTGGACTCAGTTCATTCCTTAACAAACCAGTGTGTATATATATGTCACCAAAAAGCTACCACAAATTTAACCACATAATGCATTCAGGCCAGATCCTCATTTAATGCATGGAATTATAACAGGAGAGTAAGATGATCCTTTGAGGAAGTAATAAATATTTAAGAACAGTCCCAGAATTTTGCAACCAAATATGTAAAACTTGGTGCAACCCTTAGTACTGTCCACAGCAATTTGTGCTCTCTGGTCACATTTTTGTCCTCTTCCAGAGTTTTGTGTTCCTTCCCTTTCATGTGTGTCATGAGAAGTAACAACACTCTTCTCTTGTCAGTATCCTCACTGTTCTTATCACTCCCAATGGTGGAGGGTTGCTCTCAGCAGCAAAAAAATAAATCCATTTCTTGAGGGACTTTCCTGATCACAGGGCCAAAGTCCAGCCCTGTTTGAGCTTATTTCCACCTCCCTCCAGCAGGTCACCCACACCTTGCAGGTGTTAACAGCACACCGGGCTAAGAAGGGGCATTTGAGTTTAGTTGCTGAGACTTGGTACTTGGAGCAGACTGGTCAGAGCAGCATCCCATAGATCCTGCAGCATGATCCAACAACCTACTACAGTGGCAAATGAGAATGGTCTGTGAGGAGGTACAAAAAACTAACAAAAAACACCAAAACACTCTTCTGCAACAGCATTCCCAGAAACAGTCTCTCAAAACTATCACTACCTGTAAATTAACTTTTACAAAGAAATTATAATCAAATTAACCATGAAGAAAGCACACAACTTTCACTTTTTTAACAATCAATGCTTTCCCATGATCTCACCACTGCACAACAGCCTTCCAGCCTAAACACACCTTCTTGAAGAAAAGTTCCCAAGATCAGCCTCATAACTGAACTCAGCTCCAGCACCAAGAAGGCAAGCCACCCCTGTTGTCATGAAACAAAAGTGATAATTTTCTTCTACACAACTTCCCTTCCACTTCTCTAAATGCCTAGGCCTTCTAGAAAACTGACTGCCCCCTGTAATTCAGGACATCCAACCATGCCATGTGCATATGAACAGCCGGAAAGTTAGAAATACCTGCAGCTGAGATGCCAGGATGGAAATAATTTTAAACAAAGTTTATAAAAGTCACAGCTGCAGAAGGGCAGGAAAGCACCAATAAGTATGGTAATTAACACAGAAACATGTCATATCTGACCCATCTTTGCTCTTCAGCAGGACAAACTGATGACACACAAACCAGCAAAGAGCAGAGTCTGATTCTTTCTTCCTACACAGCACTTGAGGGCTAATTAAGAACAGCAGCACAACAATCATCAAAACACCACTTGAGGTCAATTTACTATTTATACAGGACTCAAAACCCAAAAATTACTTCAAACTAACTGCCAATAACTTGAAAATGTCACACAACTGAAAAGAATAATTTTGCTTTTTCAATTTTTCAGAAAATTTGTCAAATTTAAAATAAGCAAGTGTAAAAAAGTGTTTATGGCACTGGACCAATGTCCCCTTGGGTTTTACAACATGAAAGTATCACCATAAAATACACTGGATAATTCTGGTTTGCAAAGAATTAATTTAAATAAGTAAAAGAGGCGGAAGTATCTACATTCACTTGGACTATATGGAAGTGTTATACCAAGGAGTTCGCAGAGTCACAAAAAAGGCAGTGCCAGCAGCAGAGTCCAGGATAAAGGAGAATTGCCCCTTTAAATAAAGCAGCTTGATCCAGGCTGAAGAATACACATCAGCACAGCCTGAGGATGCAGCTTCTCATTATAGATGAGCTGACTGACCTGTGACCCCACTTTCCCAACCCTCTCATGACTGGATGTCTTCTGTAGAGGTAGGTTTAGGGTTTTTTATATTCTTGTTTTTTAAGTAAGTTCATCCCACTAAAGCAGGTAACCATGGCCACAGACAACTTGGTGCACTGCAGAAGACAGTGACACAGAACACATAATGCAAGGGTACAGACCAAAAGAAATGCTAAAGTAAGAACAGACAGCAGAACTTAAATTTAAAAAAAACCTTCAAAAGCATATAAAAAAATTGTCAGCACCTTGAATGTGTTCCTATTAAAAAAAAAAAAAATCATCCTGTTACAAATACAACTGTTGTGTATTCTGACTATTTCAGTAACAATGACCCAGCCACACCATCACAGTAAAATCAAGCCAGTGCAGAATACTCACCTTCACAAAATTGTCAGGGAACATGCCCCTTCTGCCATTTAACTCCCCTTCCAACCATCCTTCTTCTTCCAGTTTTTTCACATTCCTGATGACTTCCCCAACTCGGATTGTTAACTCATCATCATGCACTGCATCATAGTCATATTCCACAATATAGTCCACTAAAAAGGAAAAAAAAAACCATGCACAATGAGTACAACCCAGACTGGGAAATGCAACTTGAAAGTTATGCATGTTCAAAAGACAAACCTAACAGTGACTGCTAACAAAAGGCATTTCCCTCACAGCAGTGCTCATTTGTGACAGTCCCATGTATTTTTGGGAGGAAGAAACAATTGCATAGTCAGCTATTAGAATAAAATAAATTTAGGAATATGACACTGGGTCATATTTTGGTGGTGGTTGGCAGATTTTTGTTCATGTCCGTTGGAAGGAATTGCTGGCAATGTTTTTTTTTTCCCCCCACCAAGTTCCAGCTGAAGATTTACCAATTATGAATCACTGACCACAGGGCAAGTATTTCTCACTCAGTGCCCAGTAGGGGCAAGGATCAGACACTGTGTGTACAGTAATGCTTTGTTAATTCGCACACTTCAGCCTGTTACTATGTTTGCAAAAAAATTAACTGCTGCACATTAATTTCTGCAGGTTTGATCCAAAAAATGCAATATAGCCAGAAAGTGTGTGATTGACAGTATCATACAACTTAAATTACAGAGATGTTAAAAGCACCTTCTCTCAGAGTAATTTGGTTTGTATGAAGTAGAATAAGCAAGTGAGCTTTACTTTTAATACACTTAAGTTTACTCAGTGAAGCTCAGCAGTGTATTCACATACTTGTCAATCTGTTGCACAAGATCCACGAGAGTTGCTCACTGACAGCTTAAGGCTTGTTTGGCAATAAAGACCCACTTGTTCATCAAGAAACTCTGTTCATGCCTGAAATTTCCAGAATCCTGCAGCAATCAAATAATCTTCCCTCTCATCAAATTCAGTCAAATATCCAGGCACTGCCAAATGTTAAAATGCTGTTCTCACTGAAACCTCCCTCTCCTCTGCAGATCACAATGCAGAAGAGCACAACAAGGTTAAAGACAGAAAATCCTGAATGGTTGTAGAAGTTTCTTTCCCAGGTTAATTTATTTTATCAGTGCACAATAATACCCAACAATTAATTAAAAAACAAAAGAATCAAATGGGAAGAAGTATTATTTGTCATTGAACTTACAGCTGCATTAAACCAATGTGTAATTCCAATCTGTGGGCAGTTTTAATCACAAGTGCAGCTGCAGTGATTGCAATTAAGCCTTTATCCCTCTGCTGCCTATGGATGAAGCCAGAAAACCCTTAGTAAAAAACAGAACTATGTGATGGTGCCACAGATGCAATAGATGCTTGAATGATATGTCTGGCAAACTATTTTCTGTATGCACCTGTTAACAAAGGAACAGGTGCATACAGAAAGACTTAATTTTGCTTTTTTCCTTTAACAAAAGAAATAATTTTCTTCTTTATGAACAGAAGACATCACAAGAGTTACCTATGTTACGCACCTGGAACTTCTAGCACACACTTTTTGTACTGGAGACTTTTATTTCTGCCAAATGTACTCTCTATGTTTGTTTCAAAGCATCATATTCCCCCATTTCTGCCTGCAGCAAGCAGAATAGTTCTGTCTTGCTTCTGCACAGAATTGTCTCTTGAGTAGCTGACATAAAATATTGCCAAACATACAGGAAATTCTGGCAGTCACAAATCATAAAGACAACAGCCATTCATCACTTAAGAGTCTGGAAATGAAAACATCATCTTCCAACCAATTCAACCCAGCTATTCTGGAAACTTATAAATGTAGAAAAATGTAAGAAATTTCCATGACACATACTTCTCTCATGATACACTGTTTTGAAGTACATTAGCAGGTAGCATATTTCAAAATACACACTATAGGACAGCTTTACAAAGCTAAACATGGAAAATTGATCACAACAGACTGTCAGTCATGGCAAATGCTCATAGCAGTGACTTGAACTACTGAACACCTGGTCCTTTTTCCACAGCAGCAGTAGATAATCACACTCACACTGTGTCAACATGAACCAATTCTATTGAAAGCTTATTTATTACCTTGGGAGAACTTTTCTGTATTTGTGTTTGAAATATACAGCACATTCATCTGGTCACCTTTCCAGACTATAAAACATTGACTCTGTCATGCCAACAAAAAACAGAGAACCAGAAGAACCTCCCAGTCATCATCCATATGTCTTTATGTTCCAAAGACAAATAGCAGTAAACAGACATCAGCTTCTTACACTTGAAATTTAAGTGCTGAATTTCCTCTTGTATTTGTCAGTGATACCCAAAGCCACCCTCGCTCTCATGGATACATAGACAAACCAGATATGAATTCTGTTGCCTCATCTGTAAAGTGGAAGGGACCATGGGCAGTGTTAAAATAGTTTCATCCCACAGATTTTTTTTCATATGATAGCAGAGGAACAGCAAGGAGCTACACATCCCATGTATTGCTACTATGTGATCCTCAAGAAGAACACTTAGAAGTTTTGCTTTTAAATACAAGCAAGTAGCACTAGTTGAATCATCCAGGTGATGCGCAAGAAACCTCCATACTGCCTAAACAGTCCAGATTAAATAAATCTCTGAAACATCCTGAAGTATAATATTTACCCAAGTAAAAGCAGAGTCCAGCAATGACAGAAAATGTTTTTAAGGAATCACAACTCCTTACAATAACACTTACATGAAATTACATTAGTTTACTGATTATACTTCTTAATGCTTGTACTCATTCTGAACACTTCAGGTTCTCACTTAAAAGCTTTTCTCAAGAACAGATACACTGCAATCAGTCAGGAGGTGGATTTCAGTAATATAAGCTGGTCTAAATTTTTTTTAAAAACTTCTAAACTGGTAGAAGATGCAGCAGAACTCCTCCGCAACACAAGCTGTCAAAACCAGCTATCTCCCCTCTGCTTTTTTTTTTACACTGCTTTTGCCATTTCAAACCCCACTCAGATGAATTATCTGTAGCTTAAAGTCCTTAATGATCAAGTCTCAAATGAAAAACAATCTTAGGCTTAAGCAGGTACACTGTGAGGTTTACTGTGCTTTTCTAGCACATCCAGAAACACCAAAGTTCACCTGAGAGGGGGAGACAATTTCCTCCTGAGTTTTCACAGTATCTTCATACAAGGAAAGGCTGAAAAAGCTGGAAAAAGACTCAGAGATATCTCATCAATCAGGGTGTGGAAAAGACCAAGCAGTGCCCAATGAAAACACAAGATGCAGTGGGACAAAATGAAATCAAACAAATGCCATTTAAACATATATAAACACACTGTCTCATCCAGCCATGATAGCTTTCCAACATACTTAGAGAACCTTCCAGATGGTGTTTTTTGAGGGTTCTGACCCATTTTCAGGGGCAACTAACTGATTAAAATCAACAGAAAAAAAAAAAATGTTGACAGGACATCTCTGGAGGAAAATGGCTCTGGGGGAAGGGTCTGCTCAGCTCTTGCTTTCTAGTAAGACAACAACCTCACTAACAAAACAAGAATGAAACAATTAGGTTGGATGTTAGGAAGAAATTCTTCACAAAAGGGTGAAAAGAGTGATCAGATACTGGAATTGACAGCCCAGGGAGGTGTTTAAGGGGAGACTGGATGTGGCACTTAGTGCCATAGTCTGGTGGACATGATGGTGGTCACAGGCTGGATTTGATGATCTCAGAGCTCTTTTCCAACCTGACAGATTCTGTGATAAAACAGACCGAACACATCAATGCCAGTCAGCAGCTACAGACTACGTTATTCCCCATAACACAGACAAACTGTCCTACCTAGCACCTCTTTGACAAAACAGCTCCCACTGTCAGCCAAAGCAGGAACACTCCCTGCACCACACATTCAGTCACTGCTGGCATAGCTGGACACCCCACTTCTCAAAACCTTCCACAACCAGCTCTTCTGCCAACCACAGCCCAGTGCCAAGGAAGAGGCCAAGTCTCCCAACAAGCATGGCCATATTATACCCATCTTCTCTCATTGTAAACAAAGGATGCTTTCAGCTACTCAAACTCTTTCTGAAGTTGCCTATTAGAGGTAACTAAGGCCCTCTGGTAGCCCTAAAGCAGAAATCAAAACATAAATTAAAAAAAGAGTGGAAAATATATCAAAATTATAGCACGCCTGTATCTTCAATAGAAAGAGACACTCATCCAGCAAAGAGCACAATTTCACATTCTTAGTACTTTGTTTAGGGTACTACAATACTGTCAGAACCCAGTGACCTTTCTGTAGTAGCCAAAAAAAGACAAACCAGATTTAAAATAAATCCCATGAAAAACACACTTTAATAGCTTATATATTTTTTTAAAGAGGGGAGAGGGATTCATCAGATACCTGAAATCCTTGCATATACTGGGAAGCCTTGCTGAAACTTGCTCAGGCCTGGAAGGACAGAGTCCAACGGGAAGCAGCAAGAATTGCTGCAGTCCTCCACAAAGGTCTCTTCAGGCAGGTTTCAGGCCAGTTCAAAGTCATTTACTGGAACAACAACCCTGGAAAGTCGTGTGACCTCCAGAAGTACCTTGCCAGCAGATCTGCAGTTACATTAGAAACGGACCTTTTGCTTTTCCAATTTATGACAATAGATGCTAGATGCCTAAAACAAACTTCATTAGTACTGTTATTTCCACTGGTACATTAATCATGTAAAACCTTCAAAGTTTAGTCTCCTATGAAACAAAGCCTAACCATTTTGTTATTATGTATGAATAGAATTACAAAGCTATTTCATTTTATAGCAGACCAAGTTGCCACTAGGAAGACCCCAGAGGACACAATCTTACCCTTTTAACCTACCATACTTTTCTTCACAACTATTTCAAAATCAGGTGCTGACCTTAAGGAGAATGATCCTTACAACTGCATTCCCACAAAAATGTTTCTACCATTTATGAGCTATAGGAATTCCAGCTGGTTTAATACTAATATAATACAATATGTTCAGCCACTTAAGACAGACCTTAACACTGAAAAAGTAGCTTCAGTGCTGAACTATGAAAACACCTTTGTAAGTGTTAAACATAAGTAGTGGTTATAAGGATGTTTTCTTTCCACTACAATACCATATA